GGATGGGGAAGGGGACCTAGTGATGGCCAGTCAGCATTTTGAGGTGCCTACACCTTCAAGTGCTCAGTCAGACAATATGGAAGGAAACTGGAAAGTAAAAAGTCATTGACACCTGCCAGCCGTCATTTCTTGTTAATGTATCCAGTCAAGCGCAGAATCCACAAAGACTCTATCCTGGAAGGCGTACAGTACCAACAACACCCAAACTCTTCTTCGCAAAATCATAGGCTATGCACCGTAGTTTCCGCCAATATGGATGCACATAGAACAACATTCGTCCCGGTAGACGGTGTTTGAGCATTCGCAGCACAGCCGAATAATCGTAGTTGATGGGGTTGGGTATTTCCTGCGACAAAGTATTTAATGCACAACCAAATAACCGTTTTCTAATTCCCTCGTTACAGATTCTTTCGCGTCGTCCCACAGCAGCAATGCTTCCGAGGAATTAGTGGTAAAAAACAGAGGACGCCTGGCATCAGCTATCCTCGGGAACCGTGTTTCGAAGCTGGGCAATTCGATTGTAAACGTTTCATTACCAATCGAGATGAGGGAACGCATTAGTGCGTAGCGACGAGTTGGTGGTTGTGCACAGTTGTAACCGTTTGAGACCGCACGCTCTGAAGCACGACTTTGCACTTCGAAGGTGCTAGGCGCATTTCGAAAGATGATATGATGGTAATCAGCTTGTTCAACAGAGCTTGTGCTGAGCCTTCGTCTTAGATGAGGTCGATGTTATCCGCGTACTGCAGATCGACGAGCAACAATCGACCAGCAACAATCTGAACACCAGGGTTTTAAAGATCTTTCAGCGTTCGCTTCATTATTTCATCAATGTAGTTGTACAAGAATGAATAGAGTGAACATTACTGTCGGACAAAACTTTTCGTAGGAAAATTTTAGAGCCCACCATGCACACTCACACACCCAGAAGTATGTGAATACCTGCAGCCTGGATTGGAGGTACCAGCTGGTTAGCCGAGTTGTTGTTCGAAGTATTTTGCCCAGCGGTCCAAACATTCTTATTATGGTCCCTTATTGTTTTGCTGACAAGGATCTGTCGAACGAATCAAGTTGGACAACTTGCGGAATTTTACAGCATTTTCGCCTCTTCTATTTCTTCGGTCTTTTGGGTCCACCGAGCTCCACGGTCTGCATGACGTTCAGTTTGACCTGGCGTCACATGACACATCCCGTTGAGTTGTTTGTGATCAGGAAGAATCTGTTGCCGGGCCTATATCAAAGCCCAAGGTCCAATCAGAGGTCTGATGTTTGGATGAAGTTGGCTGAATTGTACCGCAAAAGGAATTTCCAGCTCTGAGTAGCACTGGATATTTGTTCTCAAGGACCGTTGATATCCTTTATCCGACCGTCCGACAGGCGTTCCAAGAGCCGGTTTTGAAAGTTTCGTTAACTTCCGCGTCCAGTAGCTTCTCGATGGTTAGGTGTGCGCATTTTGCGTAGACCTGAAAAGCAACAGCGCATAAGTGCATGGTCGGAGTCTACGCCGGTATTCCAGAAGAGGCGGCAGACAGCAATCAACCCTCGCCATCCGTAAAAAACGGCGATGTGGTCTAGTTGGATCTGGTTCGTTCGTGGGCACCACGTCGCCAAGTGATTTCTGCTGTCCCGGAAATTAGTACTGCAAAATCAATCTACCTGAAGTAGAAGATTTCCCTTGTCTGCGCGTCTCGTATCCAACCCAAGACGACCACCGAATCGGTGGCTCCTAGTCTACTTACCCGAGCATTTATGTCACCAGCTACCACAACGATATCAGAGCTTTTAGTCTGTTGTAAAAATAAGCGTCCAGAGCGTCACAGAAACTTCTCAAAACTCTCTCACAAAACGATGGCAAACGAATCGCGCATAGGCGACTATCAACGGGTATCCAAGCAAGTGGAGACACTTCGGCTCGGTCGCTCAATACGATACCTACCTCAGAATATCCAGCTGCACCAGCCTCTACATCACCATAGGTGCGCAGTCAGTCCAATTAGAGTACTTGCGTTCTGTTTCCTTGTTTCTGACAAACAGCACATATCAATGCAGATGGAATCGAGCGCTTCTGAATGTGGAGAACGGGCCTTGACGTCACCTTGAGATCCGTTTGGCTGTTAAGCGGAAACAATACAACGCAACAATACCCACTAACGGCGTACAGCGTACTGACGGTTTCGAAACTCGGTCGTTGTGAGCGCACTTCAGAAGATTTTCGGTCTCGCCATCGGTGTCCCCGAAACGCGTCACACCCAGATCACACGGACACGGATGCGAACGATATAAGCGTAGGAAAGCCCACAAAACACAGCGCCAATAAAACACGATGAATGGTTTAGTACTATGACGCCTGTGCGCCAGAAGTGATTGGGGACACCTGCGTTCGAACTTTTGGGGCTTGCGACTGGAAACCAGTCTTTACAACAGAACACATAAAATGGCAGTCACATCAAATATTTCTGGACGACTGCGAGAATCACTGCAGAAGTTTGATCTTCCATAGCTAGCCGATAACCGAGAGAACAGGACTGGTCACAAGGTCCAAACCGACAAATCAGCGAAATCATCTAACACCTGACTAAGGGCGTGATCCTGCGGCTAGTGTTACTTAAACTGGTACTAGACCACACGAAGGTGAATGTTGGTAGCTCAGGTAGTGTAGATCGTCGTCGGCTTCTTCGCTGAACCGGACAATGTCATTACACGCGTTTCAGCAGAATCGAGGTGACATCATTGCGTTGTTAGAGATCGCCGTAATGGCAGCTATAGGCCTATAAGCCTCATTGTCATCATCATCATCATAGACGGCAACATCAGTGTTGCCACTGATGCTTCACTGCCGTACAACCATGAAGTTCGTTTAGTTATATATATATATATATATGTATATATATATATATATAATTGTATCAAAAGCCATACAGTGAAGAGAAGAGAAAAAGAGTGGGTGAGGGAGCGGACCTAATGCTGGCCTATGTCAAGCATACTGAGGTGTCTACACCTCCAACCGCTCAATCAGACAATCTGGAAAGAAACTGACAGCACGAACGCCACTGACATCGATTAGCCGCCATTTCTTGCAACGTCT